TCATTGGAAATGCGGCGACGCGCGATACACGCAATATTGCCCATGGTTCCGATCGCCGCGGAGGGTTGGGGGTGGGTGGGGCGATCGGTTGATTGGCGATTGAAGTAGGATCAAGATTAGTCTGCGATTTTATACGGAGAAATAAAAGATAACAGATCGATAAAGCAGCAATTGGTAGTCCGAGTGGCTGGTTTTTCAGGTCGAGCGCCGGTCAAGGTGTACGGGAGGGGGTTGGAGAGCGGGCGCGGGCGGAGACGAAGGGAAACAGAGGGAAACGGAGCGGAAGGGCGGGCGGGCCGCGATGCTGCGAAGGGTTTCGCGTAGCCAGGCCTCGTAATGAAAAGCGGCGTTTGTCGGTTCTGCGGCGGTGGACCTCGCAAACAAACATTCCTGGACGATGATGATGCTCTCATCTCGGGATCCTCGGGAATATTGCTCATCGCCGCTCGTCTCTCTCTCTCCCTCTCTCTCTTTTTCTCTCTCTTGGCTCCCTCGGCTCCGCTCGACCTCTCGCCGCTCTCTCGCGCGCGGCCTTTCCAATTTTAACCGAATTTATAGGCTGCGAGAATCATCGATTCCTCGTGGATGCGGTGAATAACTCGTTGCACTGGAACACGCTTCTCTATGAGAACTAGGCGCGTGATTTTCGTACCGATTAGGATGGACGTCCCAATTTCCGCGGCTTTCAGCCAATTTTTGCTTCGACGAAGCTTCCATTGAGCACTCCGATTTTCATTTAATACGGTAAAACCGTATCCCGATTCCCCGCAGACGTGTCTGTCCCTTTAGAAATACTTTCTCGCGCGACAGAAATGAAAATGAAATGAAAAAAGATGGTGTTTTTTTTTTACTTTCGAAGGTGTTTTCGAATTTTCTTACACCGTTGTACCGTTTTGAACTTTGTTAAATGATTAAGAACGAACACAAATGTTCACGTAGCTGCAATATGCTCTTGCAATCGATGCGGACAAATTTTATTTTGCGCAAAAATCCGCAGTCTACTTCTTTTTAGGTGCTAATCGCTCGTCAAAGATACTGTCATAGTAATCTAACGAAGGGAATTTTCTCCCGTTAATCGTATATATTTGACATAATTATTTAAGTCGTGTAATATTCTGGTAAACGCAGTTTTCGTTGGAGCGATTCCTGCAAATTTTTGATATAATTATTTAAGTCGTGTAATATTCTGATAAATGCAGTTTTCTTTGCAGCGATTTCTACAATGTTTTGATATAATTATTTAAGTCGTGTAATATTCTGATAAATGCAGTTTTCTTTGCAGCGATTTCTACAATGTTTTGATATAATTATTTAAGTCGTGTAATATTCTGATAAATGCAGTTTTCTTTGCAGCGATTTCTACAATGTTTTGATATAATTATTTAAGTCGTGTAATATTCTGATAAATGCAGTTTTCTTTGCAGCGATTTCTACAATGTTTTGATATAATTATTTAAGTCGTATAATATTCTGGTAAACGCAGTTTTCTTTGCAGCCATTTCTACAATTTTTCGATATAATTATTTAAATCCTACAATATTCTGGTAAACGCAGTTTTCTTTTGCAGCCATTTCTACAATTTTTTGATATAATTATTCAAATCCTACAATATTCTGGTAAACGCAGTTTTCTTTGCAGCGATTCCTGCAAATTTTTTGATATAATTATTTAAGTCGTGTAATATTCTGATAAATGCAGTTTTCTTTGCAGCGATTCCTGCAAATTTTTGATATAATTATTTAAGTCGTGTAATATTCTGATAAATGCAGTTTTCTTTGCAGCGATTTCACGCCGAAATCATTTAATCTTCATGCTCGCGATTTCGAACAAATACTTTCTACCAAACTTAGTCTTTTTTTAGGACTGCGAGGAGAGAGCGAACGAGTAGAAATTTTGTATTCTTCGTCGGCTCGATTTTTCAATCGATCGAGAGATAGATAGAGAGAGAGAAAACGAACGATTTAAACGTTCTACGAACGAAGTATTTCGGATTCCTAACTAATTGCGCGCGATTTTGTTAACCGCCCGGACAGAGAGAGAGCTCGCGGCTGGCAAGGGTGGTCGGCCGGGCTCGATTATATTCCACGCAAGCCCCAGGTACAAATATTGACGTTCTCGTTCGTAAAATTCGTGCGGAAATCTGTTTCCTTGTACATACATATTCGCCGGCTCGATTCGCGGTCCGGTGCAACCGGTGTCGGATTGAGAATAAACGACTGAATCTGTCGAACGAACGGAATTTACACGGAACACCGAGCGTGCATTTCGTCTCCCAGGGATGTGCACAATTTTGCTCGGATGACGGATAACGGATACAGACTGTCGAACGAAATCTTATTCGGCGCTATCGGACAAACATCCGATCGAATCATTTATCCAGATAAGAACTTATCCTAACAAGATTTTAGTCGAATCGCAGTTCATATTCGAATGATATTTTATTCGAATCGGAGTTCATATTCGAATGATATTTTATTCGAAGAAGAATTCATATTCGAATGATATTTTATTCGAATCGGAGTTCATACTCGAATGATATTTTATTCGAATCGGAGTTCATATTGGAATATTTTATTCGAATCGGAGTTCATATTCGAATGATATTTTATTTGAATCGGAGTTATGATATTTTATTCAAATCGGAGTTCATACTCGAATGATATTTTATTCGAATCGGAGTTCATACTCGAATGATATTTTATTCGAAGAAGAATTCATATTCGAATGATATTTTATTCGAAGAATTCATATTCGAATGATATTTTATTCGGAGAAGAATTCATTCGAAATTTATTCGTACAAGAATTCGTATGGAAAGTTTATTACTTTTGGGTAAATTGACGCATAACTAAATATATTTCTTTACCGGTGCCGAGCGATTCGAATAAGCGATTATTATAATTCGTGTTAACGCCCCTCCCCCCCGGTAATTAATAAATCCCGAGTCCGACTCGTCATAAAAATTTCTAGTAATAATTTATTGAATATAAATGTTATTCCGCGTTCTTTAACATTGTAATAAAATTCTAATCTCTCGTCGTCGATATTTAAGCATTCAAGTAAACTTAGGCAGACGATAAGCATCGTTTTTCTTTCCCCTCTAAGAAATTATTGCAATCGAAAAATTTCTAATCGCAGTAACTGCGAAAAAAATGGTATGCCAAGGGGTTAAATATATTCTCATAGAATCACGTGAAAACAAAAGCAGTCGACGATTATTGGCATTGTTGTTCGATTAATTTATCGACCTCTGTTCGAATAATTCATTCGAGTGAAAAATAAGAAAAGATTCGAATAAATAAATAAATAGAATAATTTGTCACGAACAATGAATAATTGTTATTCGAACAAACTATTCGACTGCGACGAATTCATTCGAATAATTGTCATAGATCAATACTTATTCGAATACAATTCGAACGATGGTCAAACTATGATTAACAGAGAGCTCGCATTTCCAGGCTCGCTAAAAATGTCCGTAAAATAAAAATGCGCGTAATTTGAAACGATCCTTCGCGAAATCGTAGAAACCCCGAAACCTGCTACAAAGCAGTGTACTCGATGCGGACGGATCATTCACGAGCCACGGTTTTCTGATTGCAGGATAAGCGGAGTGCGGGCGGCAGGACATCTCGATGGAGTCTCTCTAGTTCCGGCGAGGCGGAGAGAGAAAGCAAAAGCGGAAGAAAGAGAGAGAACGAAAAAGAGAACAAAAAGAAATCGGAACAAACAGAAAAGCTAGACAGAAATAAAGAGAACGTTGAAACGCTGAAGAAAAGCCGATAGAGACCTGGCTCTAGTTTGTCTCGCGAGTCAGCGAATCGAGGATCCCAGGGACGCAGCTACACGAAGAGGACGCAGAAGAAGGTGATGCCTGTGTATCTTGGGACGTGGCATGACCTTAACGAGTAGACGTCGCCGGAGCCAACGGGAGAAGAAGAGCTGCGCGAGAAGAAGCTGCAGGGTCCGCGCGACCGCGACCCGCAGGTTTTAATATTCGGCGCGAGTGGATCGATCGCTGTGGGTGCCCCCCGGCGGAGGTCGCGAGGGCAGCTCGCCGTAGATCGCCCGATGGCGTCGTTTGACCCACCGACCCACCGGCATTGTCTTTCGAGCGCGGCCAACTGATATTCCGGCGGAGCCTCGTCGGCGTCGCGTCGCGTCGCGTAGCGTCAGTGACACGGGATCAAACGCGGGATCAACATGCCTCTGACTATCGACGGCGCTCGATCTCGCCGGTGATCGCAAGCCGCCGCCGCCGCCGCGCCGCGTGGATCCCGCGATTCAGTACGACGATCGACCGCCAGCGAAGATGAGCCCGGAGCCGGACGAGTCTTAGCGCGGAGACCGGGCGCACCTCCTCTCACAGAGACACGCACTCGTGAATCGGTGAAATCAGGGATCGCGGGGCGCGATCGAGAGGGAGGATCGAAAGGGGGCGAGTCGCGCCGTCGAGATTATGCCCAGAGCCGAAGGAGTCCCGGCGACTCTAAGGGTGCGAGACTCGGGCTCAGCGATCGCGGAGGAATCCCAGCGAGAGTTCCGCGGTTGTGCAGCGTGATCGGGGCTGGGCCAACGTCGTCAGCACGTCGCGGCCTTTGTCCTGACGAGAGCGCCGCGGGGGAATCTCTGGTCCCCAAGGAAGGATGAAGTCGGCGCGGTGCACGCGCGGGCCCGCCGAGCCGGCCGAGGAGGCCCCGGCGCCGCCCTCGGAGCCCTCCGGAGCGACGGACGCGCGCTGGAAGATCGCGGCCGCCGTCGACGCCACCACCTGCCACTGCCATTGTCCGTCGAGGCCGTCGCCGAGCCCGTCGACTCGCGGCGCCGCCGAGTGCGCCGACCTCTCCCATCTTCCCTCCTCTGCGACCACGCTTCCGGCTCGCAGCGAACGGACTGCTAGCGGCTGCGACCTCTGCGAGCGTCTTCGCGGCCGCTGCGACCCGCTGCCGGACAGGACCAGGCGTCGCGACGCCGCGCCGTCGTCGTCGTCGTCCAGAACGTCGTCGTCGTCGTCCAGGACGTCGTCCCAACGAGACTGGTTGCCCCGGGCCGACGCTCAAACGCCCTCTTCCTTCTACGTCTCCAAATTACTTTCAGCCTCCTCTTTCCGCTTCTCTGCGTCATTTTCCTCCTCTTCTTCTTCTCCTTCTTCTTCTTCTTCGTCGTCGTCGTCGTCATCGTCGTCGTCGTCGTCGGTCTCGGTGTCCTCGCCAAGTAGCTGCGGCTCGAGCGACGTGCGGTGGTACTCGCGGACCGAGAGACCGTTTTCATGGACGAGCCACACCGGGTCTTTCGCCTGGACCGTTTTGTTCCTATTGGTACTCGTGTTCCCCATTTTCGCGGACCATCAGAAGGGGACTGCGACGAGTCCCTCCAAAGAAGACGGAGGTGAGTCTGTGTTTTTTTCGTTTCCATTCCGACGGGCCCAGTTCGCGTCCGTCCGCGTGGCCGGACGACTCGGCTCTTGAGCTCGCAGAACGAGGATCATTTGGAGAAATTGGGAAGAGGGGATGCGATTATTAACCCTTTGCGCTCGAAGCCGTTTCAACCGTGAATGAAAAATAATTTTGCTCGCTTATTGTATTCCTACTTTATACGGCAAAGTGCATTTTATGCATGTGAAATTGAGTCTTGTGGCGACTCGTACAAGAGTTTCACTTGTTACACTTTCGACAATTTTTTAAGTCAGACTTTGTTCATATAAATATGATGTTGGAAAGTGATATAACAATTTCAGTGGTGCCTCGGGGTCACCGCTCGAGCGCAAAGGGTTAACATTAGCTCGTTTTTATAATTGTTGATAATCGGTAACTAGTGTCCCCTTTTCCCACGTTGTCCATTTTCGCGGACAAAAATGACGGGCAATTTTCGGGAATATTTATTGTCCTTTTTAATTTTGCTATTGCTTGGAATGGCGATAAGGAGTAACAAAATTAGGGTTTTTTTCTTTAACCGTTTATCCGAACCTGGAACGACAATTTAAAAATGTGCGTTTTCGAGATCTCGACGAATTTATGAGAAAAATAAGACAATAAAATGGCATGAGCATGTTATTTTTAAATCATTAATAGTGTTAAGAGAAGAGATACGTTTTACAAGATGTCAATTTCGATTTCTTGAAATTGAAGGAGAAAATTCGTAGTTGAAGAGGCTGCGTTTTTCAAGATCTTCAATTGTTCGCTGCTCGTTACGTCAACCATGATTTCCATGAAATTTTCAGTATGTTATTAATAAAGTAAATAACAATAAAAGATTAACAATAAATAAGTAAAGGTAACTAATGTTGATAAGTCACCGAGCTCTGTAAAACTGCATTTTTTAAACTCACGTTATTGGCTCGGATAAAAAAAGAGTGGAACAAACGTGAGCTATCTATTTTTTCTTATCATTCCAGGTAAAGGTAAAATTAAAAAGAAGGTATTTTACTCATTGTACACTAAAAACTAGTCTCTTTTACGTGTAAAAAAAAACACAAATCATTCGATCCAGTTCTTAAAACAGTCATTTAGTCCAATCTTTGTTTTTATTACTTCATTTGTAAAAAAGAAAAGTATTTTACTTATTGTACACTAAAAACTAGTCTCTTTAACGTGTAAAAAAGAAACACAAGTCATTCGGTCCAGTTTTTGGTCCAATCTTTTTTGTTATTACTTTATCTGTGACAAAAGGTTTTTCAACCCGCATGCACCAATAAATTATATCTAAAAAATGTTACACCGTTTCGTAAAGGTGTTCGAACACTTTTCGGCAGCAGCGGGGGTAGTGCGTCGTTTTAAGATGAAATCGTGACGGTCCATAGCGCACGATGACTATACCCGCATCAACCCCATTAGATTCCCAGGCTTGCCGCCATACGTTCCAGTATCGAACGAAGTATTTGCACTTCAATGCGCCTAACGGCGCGCACCCCGTCACTTTTCTGACGCTCTGAATATCGCTCATTTGTCTCGGCGTCTCGCGAACCCCGTCCCGCAACCATCAGAGCTTCGCTTCGTAGACAGATCCCGAAACCAACCCCCCTACCCCCGTTCGGAGTCCGCTTGAAAACGCGCGGATGCTGTCCGGTGCGACGTGTTCCATTCTGCCTCTTGATCGTTGCTTTCGTCACTAGATGGTACACTGCCGTAAAGTTGTATCGTTAGCACGGCGTATTTGTCGAAAATGGAGCTGCAACCCCCGCCCCCCTTCACGAAATATTAACTGTCTTTCCTCTGGTTTCCTCAACCCCTCGCGCCGACCGGTCAGATTTCAATGTTCCGCACCCGAGACTGCATAGTCTGCGCTGCAAATAGATACGTTTTCCTGTATCGTGTATTTAATATAAATTTTAACTGTATATGACTAAATTTTACCGGATATCGATCCTCGTTTGTTCAGTATATTCTTAACCCCTTGATATATGAATATTAATATTAATTTAGTTTGTTTAATATTCAATTTTTTTCTGTTAAATTTGTTTAATATTAATATTGACACTAATGTTAATATAAATGTTAACATTAAATATGAATAATGTCAATATTAATATTAAATATGAATAATATCAATATTAATATTAAACATGAATAATATCAATATTAATATTAAATATAAACAATATCAATATTGATATTAAATATAAACAATATCAATATTGATATTAAATATCAAAATATTAATCATATAGGAGATGCGATTATTCGAGCCTTGCAGTTAGTTTTTATAATTGTTGACGATTCGTAACTATAAAAACAAACCGCAAGGGACGAATAATCGTGTCTCCTCTTCCCAAATTGTCCATTTTTGTGGACAATCCGAGCGTCAATTAGAGAGACATCACTGTACAGTAATGTCTCCCTTACTGACGCTCAGATTGTTCACTAAATTGGATCATTTGGGAGATGCGATTATTAGAGCTTTGCGGCTCGTTTTTATAATTCTGGACAATTTATAGCTATAAAAATAAACCGCAAGGCTCGAATAATCGTATCTCCTCTTCCCAAATTATCCATTTTTATGGACAATCCGAGCGTCAATTAGAGAGACATTACTGTATTAATTACTGTATTATTGTATCGTTGCATTTCTCAATCCGATTCACGAAACAACGAACAACGCCGAATGCGGAAGTACGCGGAAGGATTTATGCCGTCCGAAAATTTGCGAGACGATCTTCGCGACCGGGTAATTAGGTTTCAGCGTAGCGAAAGGACGGGCTGACAAAGTCGAGAAGGCTGACCAATGGCGGTGGACGCGCGCTGTCTCTTCCTCGGACAGGCTCGGTTCTCGGACGACGGGCAAGAAATACCGACTCGAACCGCGACAAACCCGCTTCGGTTTCGTCTTTCCATTAGCCGCCGGGGCGCGCCGGGCCGGTCCCCCGTCGGTTTTATTTGCCTTTCGCGTTATCGTTCCCTCGTACGGGGAAACACGGGAGAGAGAGAGAGAGAGAGAGGACGGTTGCCGTTTCATTCAATTTTTCTTCGGCCATTGTGGTCGACCGTTTCGTTTTGCGATTTTAACACTGGCGAACGTCGTTGAACCGCGCGCTCTCCCGCTCCACCGGAACTCTTTCTTTCGGAGATTCTGTTGAATCGCAAAAATCGATGGGCCCCCGCAGACGTTTTTTTAGCAGACGTGATTCGGATTTACGGCCACGTGAAGAATCGAACCGAGGACGAGCATCGGCGGTTTCGACCATGAAGAATTCGCGGAGTTTTTGGTGAATTGGAAACGTGTCTATTGATCAGATGGTCGCGAGAATCGGACGAGTATACTCGTCGAACACGAAGTAAGCGTCGCTGTTAAAATATTGGATCGAGAAGACGGTTTTATTTTATAAGATTAACAATTTTCTTACGAATGTTTACTTATTCGCTTAACGTTGACGTATGCTACATACATAATAAACGAAAAACGCAGGAAAAATCAGATTGTACACTAGATATAGATATAGATAGATATAGATGTACACTAGATAATAGATAGATTGGCGATCGATTTTTGTTGTTGTTGATTTTCAATCATTTCGAAAAATATAAAACAAGAGACGTACAGAAAAATAGTAAGATTCATAAGATCGAATAGCAGCTAAGAAGTACTAGTTATAATTTATTAAAATTATTAAAGGAAGAATGAGAATTATGCTAGACTCGACAGTTTCGAAATCGACACGGAACATTTTTGTTTTGCAGAAAGATACGCGAGTATCCTGACGAGTATACTCGTCGAGCACAGAGTAAGCGTCGCCGTTAAAATATTGGATCAAGACTGTCTCTTATACACATCTAGATGTGTATAAGAGACAGTCTTGATCCAATATTTTAACGGCGACGCTTACTCTGTGCTCGACGAGTATACTCGTCGAGCACAGAGTAAGCGTCGCCGTTAAAATATTGGATCAAGAAGACGGTTTTATTTTGTAAAATTAACAATTTTATTACGAATGTTTACTTATTCGCGTAACGTTAACGTATGCTACATACATAATAAACGAAAAACACAGAAAAATCAAATACTTGTAAAAGTTAAAAAATTCGAATTGCTGCTGTAGAGCGATTCTTTTCTAATCTTATTTTTATAACAATGTAAACAACTTCCCGTAGGATCGGCCTAAAAATATTCTAAACATCCTGAAATTTGAGAATATGTTTTCGTTTTCGCTGAAATTACAATTTAAACAGCCAACGGTCGCTGCTTTTTACGCGCGACGAGTATACTCGTCGTGACACAAAATACTGCCGCTTCTCCGTGACGAGTATACTCGTCGAACACTGTTCTCGAATAAGGTCTGCTGAACGTAAAAGTTCGAAACGAAATTTTATTCCTTTCTTAACAATTCTCAGCCGTTCAAGCGATCTTTCTCTTGTCTTTTATTTATTTATTTAGCATTCAGCGCGCACAGCCCTTTACACGAACTGCTTAAGAAAATGATATCATAGAAAAATGTTTGATAAAAATTGGCCAACTTCGACCGACGATAACACCGCGAGAAATCATCGCGGTACCGTGACGTTTTTCCTTAAATTAAAGCTTGAAACCTCTACTTCAAGATACCGTTTCTCGATTTCAAGTTGGACGCACCCTCGCCGCTGTAACCCTTTCAACGTAAACCCACGTTCGTCGTACCGAAAATCGTCAAGTTCGAAGCTTCGATCTTCGAATAGATTTTGTGTGTCGTCGTGACTCACAAAGATACTGTCGCTTCTCCGTGACGAGTTAAATCGCGGAAGCGACGGTGAAGCTTCGGGCGCAAGTTAATCGTCTCCGGGAAGCGAGGAATGACGAATTTCGGAGGGAGCTCGGTGTTTTCGGAATATTTTGATCACCTGCGGCGGCGCGGCGGAGGCAGCCGAACGGATCTCGGTTGGTTAAACACGTTGTGTTATTCCCGAGGTACTCATTGCCCG